ATAAAGAAAGTCAGTTTCATAAGCAATTTGTGAGAGAGAATGGAAAAAGAGCGAAAAATTAAGAATGAAAACTTCATTGTTAATTCAATAAATACAGTTTCAGAGGTCATCTGCAAATGATTTTTCAAAGAATGTAATTATAAAGGTAGATTAGGAGATTGATTCATTTGATTTAATAGTCACAAAAAAAGTAAACTGCTAATGTTTCACGCCATTTATCCTCCTGTTTGTTCATGCCATATATTGAGTATGTGTGTAGGTAATGGATATAATCAATCCTATAAACTCCCCATACACTGGAGAAGTGTGAGTACTGTGCATGTGTGTGAATACACACACATATACACACATACAATTCGTATGCATAGTGCATATGAACATATATTTTTCAAAAAAGAGGGATATGGAATATGTGAATTTCAGCTTCCTAGTGCCACCACAAACATTGTATTGTTGATTTATAAGAAAAACTTTCTTAAAAAGGAATGCTTTGTACCTGCTTTATTCTGCAATGAAATCATAATGCTGTGCTGATGACACCATAGATGGTTACCATGGAAACTGATCTGAAATCCAGCCTTAAGGATATTTATTAGATTTGAAGAAAAATAAGTAAAACTATATCTTCTTAGTTTAAAGATATACATTGGCAATATAAGGAAATTTCAATGCAAAAGAACTCTAAACCAAAAACAGAACTCCACAAAATTGTTCCACATACAAACATACATAACTATCAAGCAAATTCCTTCTGAGGTAAGAAACATGCAAGGAGCATAAAAAGCGTCAGAACTGGTAAGACAAAGAAATGGAAAACTCAAGAAAATAAAATAGTAAATATAGCTGAAAACAGTTTACTCCAACACCATTCACGGTACCTCTCCGTGTCTTTCTATCCTTGCAAAGCCTCCTTTCCTCCCTCATGTGCACATACTGCTTCATACATCGTCTTTTGTTCTTTAAATGTTGTGCTTCTTTCTTTGGAAGATCCCATCAACTCAATTTAACCATACCTTTATCAGGCATCTCCTCAATCCATTCCCTCTTTCTTTATACTGTATATTTGTTTTGTGATTAAATCCTCATTCGTTCTTTCTACACGACTAAACCACTTCAGTGTACTTCTTTCATAAGTCACTCACATTTGTATTCAGTCCACATTCATCCCACATTCATTCATTTTTAACAATCATCTTATTTTACCACACGCACTTCTTACTTCCATGGCATTTATTGTACTTTTATGTTTCCCAGACATATCCAACTCACACTTCTGTATGTCCAAGTGGATAGAAGCATGCATAGCCATTTTCCATTCTTTTGATAAACAGTCATGTATCAACAGACAAGATACTACCCACTACTTTTGTACCAACATTTGAATGCCTTAAAATTTCATTTTTTCCCCATTTTAACTAAGTAGCCTACCAAGATACACAAATTCATATATTTGCTGTTGTTTTTTAGATATTTATATAAACATTGCAGTTTTAAATTCATGTTCCTTGACAAATGTAGCAATCTTGATCTTTGATGCATTAATTTACATATACACATTATTTACTGAATCATACAATTCATGCATCAAACAACCAAGGGGATGTCATACATCCTTGTTTTATTTCCTGTTCAGTGTTGAATCATTTTGAATGTATTTCCAAAATGGATGCTTTTCATCAATGTTTTTCTTAAGTATGTTTAAGAATCATAATTGCATGATATGCAAAGTAAAATATAGAATGTAGTCATTTTCTATTAATTTATTCTTTTTATATATTGATAAATATTCACAGAACTTAATATTAATTAATGTGAAAGATCTTTTTCTGGAGATAAGGCATTCTATAGTAGGTTTTGCCTCCTAGCTGCTCCAATAGATATGAATAAAATCTTTTTAGCCCCTACTGTGGGAGAAGGACCTACTTTTCCAGTTTTGGCTAAAAAGTGCAGAGAAGCCCAAATCTGAATAGTAATCACATGTAACTGTTTCACTCTGGTAGAAACAAAAATTGTTGTGGAGACTCCTATTGCAATTGCAGATGCTTTATAGGACTTGCATGAGGAGGATTTTGCTAGGCATTTATGATTGTTATCACCCCTGTTTAACTTCATAGTATACATCAAGGCAATCATAGAAACATCAGTAGAGGCACTTTGAAAGAATTCATTATCACTTGTGGAAAAACATAACATTTCTTTGAAAAAAGTCAACTGTGGACAGAACAGAACAGAACAGAACAGAACAGAACAGAACAGTCAGCAGTCAAGCTCTTAATCAAAACCTATGGAAATGGGAAATGTCATTGCAAGCCATGGCAGTAAGAAACACTCTGCTGCTTGAGGATTTATTTATTTATTGAATTTATTAGCCACCAAACGCCACTGGACCCTGGATCTAAATAGAAGGTCTAAGAAATAAGAATAACTGAAATGAGCCTATTTAACAAATGCCTAACAGTATTTACAAGTGTCTACTCCATAACTCCACCAAGGCAAAAAGTTTATGCCCAGCTAAGGAAGTTTGCTCCCCCAACGCTGGCACTTGAGAAATGCACTCTTAAGGCCTTGAGGCTGAAGGCTAGATGCCTCTGAAGGACATTCTTATATTCTACTATCTGCATTTCATACTTCATCATTATTACTTCAGGAAATGCATACAAATGTCGCACGTGAAATTTGTACTTTTAAACATTTGTATTTTAAAACATTAATGTTTTAATGTTGAATATTTAGAATTTAACAAAGATTAAAAAGTAAAACAGCGAACTGGTTACAGTCTGTAGAAATTCATGGTATTGTTTGTTTGTAATCCCACATCTGTTCTGACATTCAGTACCTGCCTTTCTAGAAATGTTGTAATTTGCTGGCATTCAAAGATCATGCATAAATCCTGTTAAATTAAATCACAATATCAAAGACTCACCAAGTTGAAAAGGTGAGCTATTTTTGAGCTATCAAAGGTAAGGTTTACCAATTTCGAGAAATCACATTGCTTTTTAAAAATTATATTTAACATAATCATGATCTATATATGCCTTATTAACCTCATTTCTAATTTATTCCAATCCTTTTGGTGTGCATTTTTTCTCCATATCCTTTATCTTTCAGTGTGACTTTCTGAAGCATGAAAAATGTTTCCATCTAAAATGGATGCCCTCTGACTTCTTTTCACTTCTAAATGTTATAATCACTCAAAGAACTGACAACCCTAACATGCTCTTCAGTTAATTAAAGTTCACCATACACATCAGGTCCATTTCACCAACACTTTTCTTGTCTAAACATTCACATCAGTTTCATTTGTATATATTTATGAGGAAGGACAGGGAAACCCACAATATGACAAAGCTAATAGATGATAAAGGCAGACAGGATGAAATGGTGGAAAGCTTATTTCTTTTGCATATATGATGTTTTAATGGGTCTCAGGGCTGTTGTTTTACAAGAGTTTTATGGAGGTAAACAGGAGACTCTTTGCTTCCCTGGCCCCCAGCAAGCCAGAAGTCTTGGACATAATAGTCTGGGACAAACTAAACAATTTCCAGATGCTTTAATGTACTCCAGACTTTTTTCATTATAGAATGCATTCAGCTCCTCTTCTACCAAGGTAACTTGGAGGAGACTCTAATGGTTATATAAATCTTGAATGATGACACAAAAGAAATAACTGTTCATAACATGAGTGTTCCAAATATATAGGCACAATTTAGTGGCAACTGCAAACTGTGGATACCAGCTCTTTAACAAAGTTGCAAAATAAAATAAAGTATTATGTGGTCATATATTAGACAGCAGCAATTAGTTTGTAATGCAATTTTATGTATAAAGCTAACTGGGCCAAAGTATCTGAGCTTATATTAATACTATCATATAGCACAGCACCCCGCTAACTTTGCCCCTCTGACGTTCTGCCTGTATTCCTTGAGATGCACTGTCTGTTTGACAAACCGACCCTTTCCCTTTTGGTTTTATTGTCTGTCAATGTGCTTCAAGAGCTGTTAATCTGTTTCATGACTCTTATGTTTTCTTCACTAATTAAACTGCAAATGTGGCTGTGAGTAATTATCCTACTGCTTTTCAGGCTCCTGTTCCTTGCATTTAAAAGCAGTTCATTGATGTATTCCTTCATATCTTTCAGTTTATCATTCTCAGTTCATTACCCTCAATATTATGCTATTATGTTACTTCATTTCAATCTCTCACTCCCATTCTTATACCTCCTGCCATACTTTTTCTCACATTTAGAACCAGCTATTCTCTTTCTACTAGGAAAAAATTCTACCTTCCTTTTAAGAGTTGGAATCCATCTTTCTTCATTAGTACATAGTTAGTGCAGAACAAAATTAAGGCTGTAATTCTAAAACCTCTTACACAGGACTACACTCCATGGAATTCAGTGGGGACATACTTCAGAATAAACTTATATACTATGGCATTAGAAATAGTAGCTGTGATATTACAAAGGCCAGTCCCCCAAGTTCTTTTTTCTTCATAGTCTTTTTGTATTTCTGAAATTTAATTATCCTTCCCAGTGGTCACTACTTGTGAGAAGCTTCAGAACTACGATCCCAATATTCAATAATGACGCTAGTATCTTTATTTTGAAAACAGCATGCAGTTTACTGTGAGGAGACATTTGTCAAATCCCTCTTTTCCTATTTTTCAGTTACTTTAGTTGAGAAAAGTTAAGTTTTGGCCCTTGTTCTTAATCAGAATGCCATTTTCAAGAAAAACCCTAAAGCGGATTAAAATACATCAGAAATGTGAGAACAGAATGTTATTCTCTTAAAGAGATTTTTCAAGGAGCACACTCAAACCAAATTGATAAGTGCAAGTAATACCAGACTATGCTACCAAGATGCAATCTGATAAATAGTCTTCCAAGTCCAGAAACTATATACTATCAGCACTTTCATCTATTCATTTTACCTCCTATCTGATTTTACTGTGGTGTTTTATTTCATTCTTCTTTTTTTCAACAATAAAAATTCATTCCTTACCACTTATATGAGATGCTGGTGAAGGTTCCTTTTCATTTTCCTTACTGATGCTGGGAATGTTGTTCTTTTCAAGCAATCTGTCCACCATTGCAATAATGCAGTTTAAACTCTTTCCTACATTGGCCCACACCCTATCCTGAAAAAAATATCAGTATCACTACTCAGTAGTAACAGCTGCATGAAAAAGTACAATTGATTAATTTCTTTAGTGGTATATTATAGGACAATAGTGAGATGAAACAAAATAATATATCAAAGAACAGTGACCAGCACTTAATCAATTTTAAATACAAGATCTTTGCTATTATTTCTAAAGAATAATTCTGGAATGAAGATTTTACATAGTATAAGATGGTGCTATACTAATATATTGACACAAATTAGTACTGTATAGAGGTATTTTGGCATAAATCTTCATGGGTTCACCTTCTATAAGTTTCAGTTAAATATATTTATGTAAGCTATTCCCTATATTCTTATGCAGTTCCAATCATTCATTAAAAGATTACAGTGGAATTATAAAAAAATGAAGTATATTTAGACAATTGTGACTTTCCTAAAAATGAAGTACATGTGCACAACAAACTTACAGAATTGACCACAATACTTCATACTTCTAATGTGAACATGGTATTTCATAACATGCATATGAATTTTATTTGTGTGATATATATTGTTCTCTGGGAGCTTACAACTAAAATTACAAAATGCAAGTAGAATTTAACAAGCACATAGAAACATGTTTATACCACTTTCAGGTATGCAAAGCATACAGTTTTATGCCTGGAAAAGAGATGTGACGGATTTTAACTGCAGAAGAGTTAGCACTGTGAGACCCAGTTTGGTATAGTGGTTAAGGTGCTGGCCTAGAAACCAGGAAACTGTGAGCAATAGGCCTTAGACATGAAAGCTGGCTGATTTTGCACCAGTCACTCTCTCTCAGCCCAACCTACCTCACACAATTGTTGTGGAGAAAATAGGAAGCAGGAGGATCAAGTATGTTTGCTACCTTGAGATGATAGATATATAGATGGGATAAAAATATCATCATCAACAACAGCATCGTCATCTGAGTGTTCTCTAACTGAAAGAATTGTTTTGGTTGAAAGCAGCAATCCACAGATCGTTTTAGATTGTTCATTAATAATGTTTCTTATGAATCAACATGTTCTGCAGCAAAGATGTAAAAAAGGCATGTAGTACTTCCTGGGCATAGATTCCTTAAAAGAGATTCATGATTAACTAGAATCTGGTAACTGTTGTTTAGCCTATGATAATCCTCGTTTGAGGATGTTCTATATGATCATTCAATCATATAGAAATTTTACAGTATTCTCACAACATCATACTTCTGTTGCTGAGATGTGTTAGAGGCATTTGGCTGGTTCTACAGATGACTGTATTTCTGCTTTATTGTATGTGTCAGGATTTTTACATGAACAACTTTTTCTATCCACCAAGAACTAAAAGAAGCAAGGCAGCAATTATTTAAAGTGAAACTGGAATATTTCTAAAGGGACACCTTGAATGAGCTGGATAGCCAGGTATCAAAGGAAAAATTATTGCATGATGAAAATATTAAAAAAACTGAACAGGAAGAGAACCAAGCTCAGTGCTGATCATGAACAGTATTGTCTTTGAATGATTACACAATGCTGTATTTCCCATTTGAAACTAACTCTGGTGCTTCTTTCTTTTGTCTGGCTGATTTAGTACAGACAAGTCATGTGCTTTCCAGATTATTCTAAGAATATGCTAAGCTAATTCAGACTTCACTAACATTTTATTAGGGATTAAAGAAATATCTTTGAAGGAATATTATTTTACTTGAAATGTTTTGACTGCACAGAGGATAAAAACCAAAAGCAACAAATCATTTATTTTCCTAGGCTATATGATCAGAAAATTCAGTTGTATCAACTTAGTTTTAAAATGTCTTTTATACCCTACCTCCCCAGAGTGGCTAAAATGATGATGATGATGATGATGATGATGATGATGATGATGATGATGATGATCAACTATCTTTCAGCAATAAGTTTTCCATATTATAGTTTAATAACTATGTATATGTTTACCTGAACTTAGTTACAATTCATTGGGAGCATAATTATGTATAATGGTGGTAAAATTAAACAGAGACTTAAGATAAATTTGTATTATTTGATCTTTTATTTCTGAAATGCAACAATTAAAATAAACCTTTATTTAAGGTTCCACGTTAAGTTTCTCTTTAATTAAAAAATATTACAAAGTTTAAAGACTTCAAGTTGTAAATCTTAATGAGCCAAATTGGTCCCTCAAATGCATTGGTTCTAATTAGAACGCATAATGCTTCTAGAGCGTTTCAGTAATAAAAGTGTCATTTTTATCATCATAGGGCTGTAACAGTGTTATGGAGACTGACCTACCAGATCTACTGTAGATTGCAAAGTAGATGGCAGTAAAAATTCAGAGAACCGCTAGATGGCAGCAAAGAGTTATAGTTCTGTGTTGCTGCCATCTAAAGGTGATGTGTTTTTTGCAGCTTGGACATGGTAGTCCTAATAAGTGTACTTTGCATTAGGTGTTCAGAGAACAGTATACCAATTTTCTTACCACCCTCATTGGATACCGTACTCATTTGCTTCTCAGTTCAATTTAAGTGTTGGTACTGTATTGACCTTTAAAAGTCCAAGCTACTTGGGAACAGTTTACTTGAAGTACTGCCTATATACAATTGAACTGAATCTTAAAAGTTACTCTTATGATACTGTTCATAGGTATTTCAGTAGCAATAATTACACTGATGCAGAAGGAACAAACTTATTTTTTTAATGAAAAAAATTGTAACTGCACCATGTGAGCATTAAAGCATAAGCCTTTTTCTCTAATGGCAGTCTATGTAAAATCACACATTTCTTCCCAATGTAATTTGCACCTTCAAAAGTAGAACTGTTAAACATAGCAGCTCTTATTTAGGTTTTTTTTAATGCATTCTACATGCAAAGATGCATTAAACACTAGATTCACCTTGTAGTATAAAAGACATTGTATTACTGTTAGTACTGCCTATTGGGTGTACAGAGAAGCTAACTTTTGTATTTGGGCATAAGGCAGGCAGAATGGAACAGGACAGTTATATATTAGATGACAATATCTGAATTATTCTCAGTGAAGTGTTTTTGAAAAAACATTCATGTCTTCACATTCCAGGAAGCACGGCTTTCTCCATATACTATATTCTTCATTCACATCAGTGAACCCATAACCAAACATGCTGCTATTCATCTGAAATGCACCTCCTTCTGTATTAAAGGATATGACACACTGAAAATGTATTTAGGGACTCTGCCTAATTATTGTGCCTTCATTTCAAAGAACTGCTTTTGCAAATCAGATGCATCATTTTCCAAGATACAAAAGAATATGGAATAGGTTGCTCTTTAACAAATACTTTGAAATACCCTTTCCCCACCTCAAATCTGCTCAAGATGAGCCTATGTAATTTAGCTTTTGCTAACTACTGTTCAGTTGGCTGCCAATGACAACCAGCCAATTACCTAGGCAGAAAGAAACAACTATGGCTTCCAAGCAGCTTGCTGCCCACCCAATTCTTGCATTATATATTAACATATGTTTTTTTTTTTTTGTAAACCTCCTTATAGGAAGGCTTTAAAACAGCTGGTGAGAGAAAAATAGGAACAACCATTCTAAGATTGTGACCATCAGGTAAAATTAACATGGTTTGATACAGCTCATGGATGCTATTAGCATTTATATTTTACTCAGCAGCTTAATATAGAATGATCTTAACCACCTGTCAGTATTTTAATTGCTATTGCAGTATAAAGGATAATATTTAATATGAACACTTACAATCTCTCTCTCAGGCAAAGTTCTTTATGCCAATTTGCCTCACAATAGTAGCTGGTTTATTAATCTACTGAATACTTGATTAGCTTTCCCTGGGGGGGAAAAAAAAGAACAATGTGCCCTACAGGATGATTGGACATTTAATTTTTTCTGCTGCTCTTTTGTTATACAGTGTTTACATATTTACTTTTTTTTTATCATAATACCACATATCATTCAGAAACTTTGATGTGAATGAATACATGTTACATCTTAAAAAAGAAAATTGAGCAAATGTAGAAAAATTATCTCTTGCTTATGAAGTATTAATGGGCATTCTTCTGGCCACTGCTGCCATAAACTGCTGCAGCAAATTGTTTCTTTAGCCTGATCCAGGAGGCAGGCAGGTTCTGGCTCAGCAGAATGCAGGCTGTGGCTAAGTTTATTCTTCCACTGAAGGGAAATGAAGAAAGAGAAACTAAACTAGTTCCCCTGCTGCTTATGAACAAAAATTTGAAACCAAACTGGTTTTGTTCCTTATGTGCCATTGTTGCATTTACAGAATTGTTCCCTGCAAGGACTTAGTCATAGAACATTATAGTTCCATTGATATTCAGTTCTTGACGTTAGCTGTGGTGGTTAAAGTGCTGGACATGGATTGGGAAGACCCAAGTTCAAGTACCCATTCCAGCACTGAGCTGTCTAGGAACAGTGGATCAAAATTCTCAACCCCAACTATCTCACAGGACTGTTGCTGGGGGAATAAAATTATACTAACAAGAAAGCTGCCTTGAGATTCCAGAGGCAAGATATAAATGCAATAAACAATGTATTACAGGTAGTCCTTGCTTACTGACTGCTTCGTGCAGTGACCATTCAAAATGAAAGAAAAAAACCTTGCGACCAATCCTTGCATTTATGGCTGTTGTAGCATCCTGCAGTCACGTGATCGCCATTCAGGCACTTCGCAACAGGCTTGCAACAAGCAGAATTAATAGAGAAGGAGGAAGTAAAATCCTAAATCGTAGTCATGTGATTTTCCACTTAGCGACCACGGTGCTTAGCAACCAAGTTGCTGGTCTCTATTGTGGTCGCTAAGTGAGAATTACCTGAAATATCCTATCTTTTTATATGATTGCACTCATAAGAGGCACATGTCAGTTTACAACATATATTAAAATCAATGTAACACAATAATTGAGATGACAGAAAATAAAATAGTCTTATCATAAAATTAAATTAAAATCACAACAATCTTTTTCCAGTAATGATTTTAACCATTGAAAGTTTGATGGAATTGCTCCATTTTTCTTGCCTTCCTGAATATCAGGAGTTGGGTTGCCATGCGGATCTCTGGGAAATGATATTCCAGGCAGGTTGCCAAATCTTACACTGGGGGAAACTTTCAGTATTCTTACTGAGGAGTTGCTGACCAATTGGTTAGGTTCCACCTGAAGTAGATGGCCCTGAGTAAGGGTATCTGCAGCAATAATCACTGGCTTTAAAATGGCAGGAACAGCTGTATGAGCAAAATCCCACCCTTTTTTACATGTGTACTATGCATATAACACACATTAAAAGGGCAGGGCTTTGATTGCCCAGTCGTGCCTGCCATTTTGAAACCAGGAATTGTCAATGCAGACCCCCCTGGCCCTGAGATATTTAGATGCCAAGCCACATAAAACTTTATGGGCCAAAACCAGCATTCTGAATTGTACCCAGAAGTTAATTGGTAACCAATGCAGAGCTTACAACCTTGGTTTTATGCTCATATAGCAGCTCTCAACCACCAAGTTTGGCTGCCACATTATGAATCAGTTGTAGTTTCTGAATATTCTCCAAGGCAGCCACATGTAGAATAATATCCATCAGGTCTGTTTATTTGCTTATGGCCAAGAACGTATGAACAGTTTGTCTTCCAACAAGCAATCCTGGTATTTACAGACCAAAGACCTCTGGCAATCTGGGGCAGACTGGGGCAGTTGAGCTGGAAGCAGTGACCAGCACCAAACTGTAAGGTACCTTTCCCCTGGAATGATCTACCCTATACCTCCGATCACATCTCCCTCTGTATATCTCCAGAAAGATCTTCCTGTTATCTTCTATTCCCCAGATTCTTCATAGCTCCCCTCCAGAGCAGAGAGAATTACAGTAGGGTCCTGCCCTTATGTCCAAACCACTTCCTCTCATCCATCCCATACTCGTATTCAACTATCTAAGTAGACCAATCCACTTGAACCAGTCCACTCTACATGCACTTCCCACAAATCTTTTATCATGCTTTCTCCACTTAATGTTTCTTCCACTAAATGCTTCTGTTTAATATCTGTTTTCATCAGGCCCAGAGATGATATGATTACCCATCCAATCTCTCAGTACAGAGTAGTGGCTCTTACTCAGATCTCCATCTCTTTCTCCATTTTTCAAAAGCATTAATGGTGCCCTTCCATCTGTATACATTCTTCCTGATGATAACAGTCTAGCTGAAGTCCCAGGCTCTTTCAGTTACCTGAGTTTCTCAGCAGGATCATTACTATTGGGGGCAAATGACCCCAGGTCCCATTTGCTATGTCATTGACTGCAATAGCTTAGCAGACCCAGCTAGAGCCCCATGGATAATAGCAAGTGCAGAAAAAAACTCTTTCAAAGATGCTTCAAACTACTGTGGAGAGATGTTTGCAAGGCTGACAAGCCAGAATTATGAAACGTAATCCTGAAATCTAATACTAGATATTAGTGTATTTGTAGACTCAGTGGGATTTACATTTAAATAGACATTATGAGTGTGATAAGTGAAATGGGGAGATAGGTCCAGAGTAAAATGGCTCAAAGACAAATAGCTGGAGGAAATAGATAAGGGAAAGAAGCTTGGAAATAGTTATGCTTAAGAATTTCTGTTCAGTCCACCTTTTATAAAGTGCATTGGCATGACTTGCTTGCATCAAACAAATGTGCATATTAGAACATATTTATTCTTCCAATTTAATGCTAAGCAGAATTTTGCAATGCATGTTGCAGTTTAATTGTATGGAAGATTAAAAAAACATAAGCAATATTCATAATATTAGATTGACAAAATATTTTGGAATTAGAGCTGAGCGTTAGCTAGCCAACTATGAAAGACAGAATTGTTGCTACCCTGAACAACAATGTTTTTAAAGGAAGAAATAGGCAGGATTTTCTGGTATGCTATTTTATTCAAGGTTCCTTCCAAGCTAAATTTTGGCATCCATCTAAAAGGAAATACTGTGTTTGATACACAGAGAAAGTAGAATAAAAGAAAAAGTTTCTAGTTTCAACTAACATAAGCTAACACTTTTAGGTTGCAAAGTGTCTGAATATTTATAAAAATGCAATTTCTGTAACTTTTAAGAAAAACTATATTTTTAAAACTGAATTTCAGTGAAATAATTTTCATCATAAAGATATACTTTCTCGATAGCCAAAATATTTTATAAGCAAACAAACTTGCTTCTAGGATGGCTTTTTCCAATCTGATCCTCTTCTGGTGTTTGGAACCACTGTCCTACGCTATTATCATGTTATTTCTACAGGTCATTAGGTTAGGAAAGACTATTTTAGGAATTCTAAGTCATTATATGTTGCAAAAAATATAAGCATAAAATAGATACCCCAACTTCATACCTATAAAACCTTAAATTACTTATAAAACTTTAAATATTCACCCATTGTAAATAAGAAACACCACTTAAATAAAACAAAACTACAGGCCCTCTGTATATTCAGAGTAGATCAGAAACCATTTGTATTTCCTCCCTGGATCTGAGAGAGAATAACACAAACATCTGAATCTTTCTTACTTAACTGGCCTTTTACTAGAATAGAAAATGAAACGTCATGGTCAGCTTTCATTTCACAATTCTGAAATATGTATGTACACATATATTAAAATTATGAGGATTAGAACCATGGAGAAATAGCTGCTAAGCAGCTTGGTGAATTTCTGAGGCAACTCTTAGATGTCATTATAACTTATGTAAAAGTTCCAAACGATCCTGGATCCTGACAAGCAGAAGAAAAACAAACAATGAAAAGGTACGCGAGAAGGAGAAAAATGAGGGAAGATGAAACATGGAAGTTGTAATGAAACAAATTAATGCATTTTGTTTAATATACAGCAATACTATTAGTCTTTGAAATACTATATCTTATATTGAAAAAAGGAGTTGTCACAGTTCTGAACCATTTATACTTAGTCTTGCTGAAATTCTTTTCTTTATTCATGCTATATTTATAAATTAGTGATAGAAAAAATGCAAATTATAGCTGGGTATGCATGATATCAGCATTCAAAACACTGAATATGAATGTGTAGTTTTAATTTAAATCATAATAATAATAAGGAGCAGGAGAAGGAATATTAAAGGTTAAGTAGGTACTTTAACATCACATGAAGTATAGTACACCTAAAATATACATGATTCATGCAAAATTTGAGCTTCAATAAATATGTTAGTCATTGCTTCAATGTCACAAGAATCCACTGTTATTGATATAACTAAACTAGCTAACTCTTCTTAAATACAGTGGTACCTCGGGATACGAACTTAATCCGTTCCGTGACTCTGGGAGTATCCCGAGTTGGTCGTAACCCGACGCAAATTTCCCCATAGGGTTCAATGTAAATCTGGTTAATCCGTTTCGCCCTCCGA